TTTTGGGGCCTGTAGCCTGGAGATTTCTTAGAGATTTGGGAGGGATGAAATCTCCAATCCTGGGCCCTTATTTTGGGAGCAGCCAGCGTGCTGATTGCCCAGGTGTGTGCAGGCCTTTTAGGGGAGGCCAGGCCATGATTCTGGGCTCCATCTCGTTGGACAGGAGTCAGGAGGGCTCCACCCCAGCAGACGGGAGGTCTCTGCCTTGGAGTCAGGTGGAAGCCAGACTAGCTGTGTGCTAGTGGCTATAATTTGGGAAGAGTCTGCAGGAGACAGACATTGATCTGAGAGAGCCAGAAGGCTGAGTATTGTTTGCATTTGAGTGATGGTGGAAACCCCTGCGCGGGAAACCTTTGTGTTATGTGAACTTTCTTTTAAATAAAATTGGGCAAAAAGGCCCTTAAAGAAGCAAGTTGCTGTGTGCTTTAACGAGAAGAGCTCTACCACTTGAAGCGAGTTCCCACAATATATATATATATATATAAATATAATAAAGAGTCTCACTGTAATACACTAGGCTGGTGGACCCCCTTCCTGTACTTATTTCCTCAGTAGGCATCAATTTAACTCACATGGCACATTGCTTTACTTTTGCTGCCAAAGGCATTGTTGCATATTTAAAACATGTGCTCAAATGTATGAAGATTAGTTAAAACCCCAAAGCATAAATATTCTGAAAGCAGAGGCACTGGAGATAAAAATGGTGCTTGTGTCCCGGCGTGAGCCGTCGCTAGTGCACGTGCACTGGAAGAGGAGCCGCCGCGATCCCTGACATTGCCCCCCATGGGCACCCTCCGGGAGCCCCACCAATCTCTCCACCGCGGGTGGCCACGAAAGAATTCCCGGATGAGCCTGGGGGCGTGAACATTCTGGATGGGTTCCCATGAGTTCTCCTCAGGGCCATAACCCTTCCATTTTATCAGGAACTGCGTCTGGCCCCCCCCCCCTCTTTCGGCAACTGAGAATAGTTTCTACTTCATATTCTTCTTGTTCACCTATGGTGACTGCCTCGGGAGGTCTGGATTCACGATCCGGGAAGGAATCCAGTCTGGATGGTTTCAGGAGAGACACATGGAACACAGGGTGTATCTTGAAGGTTTCCGGAAGCTCGAGTTCGTAGGCCACCTCGTTGATTACCTGTTTAATTGGGAACGGGCCAATGTACTTTGGTCCTAGCTTCCTTGAAGGACACAGCATCTTGAAGTTGGTCATAGCCAGCACAGGAGAAGGCAGCCTAGTCAGGACAATCAGGGTCAATATGCAGGTACAGGAACTCAGGAATCACAGATAGACCTTGCGGCAATTTGTGACAGTGCAGGGCATCTTTAAATATTGCGCCCCCTGCACTGTCATTGGCCGCCCATGATGCGCCCCCCAGGCTGTCATTGGCCGCCCAAGGTGCGCCCGCGGCTCCTACTGCGCATGCGCAGCGTCCTGTCAGCTCGCCAGGACCTGGTGCTTGTGTCCCGGCTTGAGCCGTCCCTAGTGCATGTGCGCTGGAAGAGGAGCCGCCGCGATCCCTGACATTATGTAAGTGGTTTGGGTAGGGAGAGTGACTTGCTTGCTGAGGAAAGTACTTAGTGGTAGGGAAAGGTTCCAGATGTTAAGGGACAGGTTAAGGACTTGCTTTCCTGGAAGGAAGCCTACCTGCTTGATACTGGACTAACCAGGCCACACACTCCAACCTTTAAGACAGACATATTTGGCATGTCTCCTCAGCCACAACTTGAACTGAACTGTTAGTGTTTTCCCTTTGGCATTCTGCTCAATACAAGTTTCAAGTTTATTACAACTGGACTCTTTGTGATAACTGCCACTGCACCATGCTGCACCTCCCCCAGACTGACTCATGAGGGGGTGAATGTGCTATAGATTTTACTAATGCAGCAATCTCTAGACAGCGTAGGTAAAAAAAGACCTATACCTTTCTGCATATGAACAGAAAAATGTGCAGGTTACTGTTGTAGCTTCTTGATAACACAAATGTTAATTTGTTTGGGTTTTTTTTTTTTTTCGGTGGTAGAAATGCCCCTAGGTTCTACTAAAAGCCCTCCTATATCAGCACTATGCCAGCATTGCAGTGCCAGTTCTGAATACGAGGTCAAAATCTTCTTTAGAAACTGCTTTTCTAGCAACTACTATAGTTCTGCCAAGTCAGTAAAAAACCCTTTGTCACTTAAACAACACATTTTTTATCAATATTCTACTGTATCCAAAGCATTTGGATTTATTTGTCTCTTGTATAACCCATGTTTCATAATCTCAGAGCAGTGGCAACAATGCTGTGTATAAAAACAAAATAATTTGAAGCCATCAATGTCCAACATAAATATTAGATATCCATGAGACTCATGAATAAGAATTGTAGCTGAGAGCAGAAATAGTATTACAATAGTGATTTCCAAAGAGGTAATTCTTCTGTTCGTTTATGTATGTTGCCGGGAGATTTTCATGCACATTCCTGCATTGAAATCACTCTGACTTTAAAATGAATTGTGTTAGCAATTTTCATTACACAAACCACTAAAAAGAGTACAAATAAGATTAGGTTTTTGGCCAAGCCTGCCTTTCATTAACAATAACAAAATAGCCGCACACTTAAACTTTAATCTCCCTTCCAGCTTAAATACAACACAAAAAGTACATTCTGTCTATAAAAGTTCACAATTGGCAGGTTGGATCCAAGGAATGAAATGACATATTACATCTGTCAAGGTTAAAGGAACTGTCACATCTCTAAACCTGAAAGGAGCTTGACACATGAAAGTTAATAAGGTGAATATTGGGTGAGTTTGTTTAACTTAAATCCTATTAAACTACAGGGATCAGCTTCTACTCCAACAGTGCAGAAAACTAAACATTCTTTGTCAAAGAACTGAATTACTTTAATTTACACATGCCATGAATCCGTAGATAAAGTACAAACAAAACACCAAAGTAGAGCTACAGGAGAACGAAAATGTGGGTTAGCAAAAAAAGAAGATGCTTCCTTTTTCTTTCCATATCTATTATTCGGTAAGGAATACCTCTTAAGAATGAATTCTAAGATATCTCAGAGCTTTTAAAATTAGCTTAGAATGAATTTTATCTTTCAGTTATCCTTAGGGTTCTTCTGTCATTTTGGTATAATATAACTGATTAAGGGCCTAATCATAAAAAGGTCAGTACTAGTATAAACATTTTTAAAAGGAAGAATATAACAGTTTCTTTCTTTCATTATAAAATAATGTTCTTCCCTTTTTTGCCCAACATTTCATCCATTAGTCAAAATCTAGAAAATCAAGATTTATATCTATTTCATACTTGAACCAAGATTACAAACTCATTTCAGGTGGTAGGGTTGGCTTATATTTTATCCATTTCCTCTTCTGCAAGTCCTATGTTAGTTACATACAGTAAGCAGAGCTGTTTTCCTGCAGCAGTACAGGTGATTTCCCGTCTGCTGTCAGAATTAAAGAGAGTCACACTGAGTGTTCCCCCTCCATTCAGGAGAAGCCTTGTATTCTTATCAATGAAGGCTTCCTCTGATTGGCTGAGGTGGAAATCATGACGTCATCTACAAATCTATCCACCTTGGCCAGTGGGTCTGTTTCACTCAAATCATATTAAACTACAGGAATCAGCTTCTACTCCACCAGTACAAAAAAAAAAAAAAAATGTTTTGCCAAATAATTTAATTACTTTGATTTACATATGTCATGGATCATTAGACAAAGTACAAACAAAATAATGAAGTATGGCTACAGGAGAACCAAAAAGCGTTTTCGCAAAATAGAAGATTCTTTTTTCTTTCCAAATCTATTATTAGATATGAAATACAAAATAGATTTACTTTGGCTTAACTTAAATTAAATTCAAAGATATCCCAGAGCTAATATCTTAAAATGATTTTTTTTTTCAGTTATTTCTAGAGCCCCTCTGCCATTATGGCATTCCATGACTGATTAAGGACCTAATCATAAAAGGTCAATACTAATATAAAGCCTTTTTAATAAGAATTAACAGGTTCAACAGTTTCTTTCTCCTATTATTAAATATTTCTTCACTCATTTTCCCAGTATTTTACTCATTTGTGGAAATCAAGATTTACATCCATTTCTTATATGATACAAGATTACAAATGCATTTTAGGTGATAGGAGTGGCATATTTTTTAATCTGTCTCCTCATCTTGCAGGTTATACAATGCAAAGAGAAAGGAGATGAAGGTCTTTGCAAGTGAGAATACAAATTCCCACAATACCCATAGTGGCTGCATGAGTAGCAGGCAATGGGAAGGATCACCAAAGGATAATAAAAAGTGCTTGTAATGCTCACTTTGACCATTCCATTTTCTGTGGAGAAAAGGGAACAAAACTGTCACACCATGTTTCCTACATTCAACTAACTGGTGGGTCTCAGTTTTACAACAATACAAAACATTTTCAATATTGGGCAGAGTGACATCCTTTTCAAAACACCATTCCAGTGCTGAACTAGGAGCTAGGAAGTAGGGAACTAGGAAGGCTATATGCAACCTTGCCTCAGCAAACTTTTTAAAATAGAATTCAATGTTTCAACACACTTTAAATAGTACATTTGGGCAAACCTGTCCCAAATGAACTATAGCAATTACTAAAAAATATGTTTACGGCTTGTGCTGTAATCTACTTTAACCACTTGCCCTCCAAAGGATTTAACCCCCTTCCTGACCAGGCCATTTTGTTACTTTGACAATTGCACGGTCATGCAATTCTGCACCCAAATGAAATTTACGTCGTTTTTTTCCCACAAAGAGAAAAAACAATATTTTTTTACTTTTTGCTATTAAACATGTCCAATAAAAAAATTTTAACAGTCAAGTTTCGTTATTAATTTAGGGCAAAATGTATTCTGCTACATGTTTTTCCTAAAAAAAAATCCCAGTACGTGTAAATTAATTGGTTTATGTGAAAGTTATAGAGTTTACAAATGGCTGTATATATACTGGAATTTTTTTCTTTTCACTAGTAATGGTGGCGATCAGCGACTTATAGCGGGACTGTGGGACTGCAGCGGGCATTCTGACACTGGGGGGAACTGACTTGGTGTCTCTAACATCCCCAGTGATACCAATACAGTGATCAGTGCTAATAAAAAGTACTGACATTGTACTAATGGCACTGGGCAGGAAGGGGTTAACATGTGGGGCGATCAAAGGGTTAACTGTGTGCTGCTTCACATTATGTGCTGTGTGTGCTTTCGACTGTAAGCACACTGCTTTGTATGGCTCTGCTATGGACAGCCATACAAAGCAGTGTGCAGGAGCCAACAGGGCAGAGAACTGCATTGTTTACATACAGTTCTCTCCCCCGTCAGTAATACTCGGCGATCACTGGGTGCTGGTGAAAAATCACTGGCCAGGACTGGTGATTGACAGCCTAGGCTGTGATTGCGGCACGGATAGGGCTCACGTGACTGGTGCACGCCCCCTACCCAGAACTGCAAAAATCATGTATATATACGTAATTTTGCGGCACCTGTGCCGCCCTGTAGCAGTATTCCACCACATTGTGGAACATTAGCTACATACAGTCAGTGGTACTGTGTTCGCGCACACCCGCTACCCGGAACTGCAAAATCATGTATATATAATAGTATTTCTGCTTTAGGGCGGACAAGGAAGCAGTTAATTCCACCACATTGTGGAGCATTTATATACATACAGTAAGTGGCACTGTGTTCCAGCAGTAGTATGAGCAATTTTCCATCTGCTGCCAGAAATAAAAATAGTTGAGTGAAGTATTTCCCTGCCAACTAGGAGAAGCCTTGTATTTATATCAATAGTTAGTTGTATATAATCCCTTATATCTAGGCTGGGGGAGTATATTGATATTTATTTACAATCCTTTATGACAAAATGCAGTCTTGATGGGTATTATGCATCTCATCACAATGCTCCATAAGATAACCTATGAGGATTTATTATATTTTAGCTACGTGGATATAAAATTCCCTAAATATTAATATTAGACAATGTGATGGCGATAATGCAGTAGTGTAGGCATTAAGGAGAGAGTTGGGAATGGAAAAAGAACAAATACAAGTTTTTCGACAGGGGAGGAAATTATTTTTCTCAAGGAACATTATTACTTACAGGCAAAAGGTGTAGCCACGGAAGCTAAGTTTGCCACTAGTTTGTCCAACCGAGTTATGTCTAATGGGAAGAGGAGGTCACATTTAATATTAGCTGGTCCAATTTAATGTATGAAATTAAAAAATGTTTTATTAGCTTTATAGGCACCTGGAGCAAGGATAGTGTGAACTACCTAGATTTGGTTATTTTTAATCATAATGGGAAGATCTGTACCGAGACCCACTTTAAGGACATGAAAAAGCAGCTTAAAGAATTGAGCTCTGTCATTTCAAAGCCATTGTTTCTAATTTTTAGGGACTCTTTAATGACTGGCATAGTACCATATTTGTATAGCTTAGGTACATTACAAAACCTAACTCTTAATGAGCACAGCTCACACTGGTGCACTGCTGGTGATCTGGGTGACACCTGAATACCATGCAGCTCTCTGTCTCACAAATTCCAACACATTACCTACAGACTGTGCTTACTTTCCAACTACATGTCCCAGTCCTTGGGACATGTCACGTCTGTCCACAGCCCACACCTGCCATGCTGTCCTTCTGGGTGGTTCCACCCAGATCATGCCTAATTTCTAGATTGTTCTGCCCAGATCCTGCCCACTTTTGGGTGCTCTTGCCTATAATTATGTGGCCACTCCCCACTTGTTGCCATCATTTTCTCAGTTAATACCAGGGGCAGACTGACAACTCATGGGGCCCCTGGGCAATAGGGGATCATTGGGCCCCTGTGTCCTTGCCCAAACTCAAAAAAGCTTATGAAAAAGGTACCAGGGGCATCTCATGGGGCCCCCTACTGACCCCAGGCCCTCAGGCAGTGCCCGAGTTTCCAAATGGTCAGTCCCCCCTGGTTAATACCCTTTTTGAGTTACTACACACACTCAGTAACTCATGTAAGGGTGATGCTGTAATCCCAAGAGACAGCCCAGGGCACAGCATTATCAGGACACAGCACCTAGCTGCAGGACTATCCTACAGATTCAGGACAGTTGGCATTGATGGCCCTGCTCCTGCAACTTCCTCCTCCAGGCTGTGTCCAGTACGTGACAGTGACCCTGGTAAAGCAGCTGCAGCTGAAATTACACTAGGCACTGCCAAACCTCTTCTTTATAACCACCTCCTTCTTACACTCTCAAACCGATCCATCTAGTATGTCAACCCACCACAGAAGCCCATCCCACACCATACGTTGCTCCTCTCTCCGTGGCTCTTTCACTGTACACAGATTCCCAGAAATTTCCATAGCCTCAACGCCTCATCTCCATGGAGACTGAACACAACCGGGAGATGTTACACATGGGCAGTAATGTGTGTACCTCATACAGTGATCCAAAACATAGCCTTAGAATGCAGCTCAAAAAGCGTGACTGTCTTGCCAAATTCAGGATAATTGGTATGTATGCTTTTTGTTGTTCCTCTACTGAAGTAAAGCATTAGAAGAAATGGTTATTCTCTTGAGTCCTCTGCCCAACACTATATTACCAATAAAATACTAAGACGTTTGGTGTCATTAGTTTTGCTTTCATATAGCTGTATTTAGGCAGTTTACAAAATGTATGTTTTTTGCTATTGTTTTCTGGCAAGCTCACTTGCCAGCTGTCTGGTACGTTCATGCTCAATCTGGCAAGCTTTGATTTTCCTAAAGCACTACATTATAGCCAGCAAATGAGTAATAACATACAGAATTAATGGGTTATGCTATTGCCTTCAGCATCCATTTTGTGTCTAAATATTGTTTAATGTAAATGCTACAAATGTGGCTATCATTCTAAACACTACTTAAACAAGTATGTTTTTCTTTCAGTCCAATTTTACTTTAGCCAACATTTAATGTATATCTGTTATGAACTATTATATGCATGGGTGATATTCCCTATGCTTTGCTCAGTTGCTACCTGACAAGTTCTGTCCTTATCTATTTCAGTTCATTACCTGTGAAACTGTACACTTATCCAAAATGTCTCTTACATTATGATTTCACTTTAATCTTTTGATGTTCCATTCCTATCTATTACTAAGATCTGTAGATTAAATAATATGCTATGCATTATGTTCTAGTGTTGGCAGTCAATTTTCACTGAACAGTCAAAGTGTTCCAGTTAGTAAGTGAAGTAAAGAAGTAATACTTTGTAATGAAAATTAAAATATCTTTGCAAGATGTGAATTAAATTATACTTGACAAAGTACAATAGAAAATACAGTACAAACCAATTTTATAACTAGAGACAAATTATACAATATTCATATATACAAACCAGCGGAACTGATTTACTTGGTCCAAGGGCTTCATTCAAACTTTTTACAATAAGTGCATATCTAATTTTCTTTGTTTGGCAATAGCAAGAATAATGCAGTAGTCAAGGCTTTGGCTTTGTTGAGGTATTTTGATTTGTGTCTATGTCCATGACGAGACCTTGTACTGGTATACTCTAGGGTAAATATCAGATGGCATTCATAGTATAAAAGCACACCAACATACTTGAAACTAGTTTTGAAAATAGTATTGAAACTAATATAGAACTACCTAAGCGTAGAGTGTAAGGAGTACTTTGTCGTCAC